AAAAAACGGCAGCTGGGAGCCTGGGAATGGGGAAAAATGGGAAAATTGGGGAAAAAACGGCAGCTGGGAGCCTGGGGAAGGGAAAGAATGGGAAATGAGAGAGTGAAAAATGGGAAAAATTGGGAAAAATGGGAGGTCAGAGAGTGGAAAAATGGGAAAAATCAGAGTGGGAATGAGAGATCTGGCAGATGGGAGCCTGGGAATGGGAAAAACGGGAAAAACGGGATGGGAGTGAGGGTTTGGAATGGGGGAATTCAGTGGGAAAATGGGGTTTGGGACAGGAGGAGCTGGGAATTCTGTGGAATTCCCGGGGTTTCCATGGATTCCCACCTTGCTGCATGATCTCCACGATCTGCACCACCTTGTCCATGTGCTTGCGGGCGGCGATCAGCCCCTGCAGCATCAGCATCTTGTAATAATTGAACATGTCCCCGTCCAGCCCTCCCATCACCTGCCGGGGGGAAAAACAAATAAAAAACAACAAAAAACAACAAAATTGGGGAAATCTGGGAATGCCAGGACGGCCTGGAATTCCCACCCAGCCAGCCCACACACCCACTCACGTCCACGAACTCGGTGGTGAGTTTGAAGGCCGAGGTCTCGAAGCCCAGATTGCGGGGGGAGCTGGAGAGGATGAAGCCAAAGTCGATGTGGATGATGTGGCCCTCGGCGTCCAGCAGGATGTTCCCGTTGTGTCTTGGGGGAATGATGGGGAATTACATCAAATTCCATGGAAATCCCATCAAAATCCCATCAAATTCCCATTAAATCCCATTAAATCCCATTAAAATCCCTCGGCGTCCAGCAGGATGTTCCCGTTGTGTCTTGGGGGAATTCCATGGAAATCCCATCAGAATTCCAGGAAATCCCATGTAATTCCCATTAAAATCCCATTAAATTCCCATTAGAACATCATTAAATTCCCATTAAAATCCCATTAAAATCCCATTAAATGCCATTGAAGGCCCTCAGCGTCCAGCAGGATGTTCCCGTTGTGTCTTGGGGGAATTCCATGGAAATCCCATCAGAAAAAAAAAATTAAAAATTAAAAAAACTCCCCCAAAAAAATCTGAAAAAAAATTCTGAAGAAGTTCTGAAAAAAAAAAAAAACAAAACAAAAATCTGAAAAAAAATTCTGAAAAAAATTCGAAAAAAATCGAAAAAAAATCAGAAAAAATTGGAAAAAATGGGAAAAAAATTTTTTTAAATTCCAAAAAAAATCGGAAAAGATCCCCAAAAAGTTCCTAACCCCCCCAGCCCGTTCCCAACCCCCCCGAGGCTCTGCTCACCTGTCCTTGACCTGCAGCAGGTAGCACACGAGGCAGTAGCCGGCGCAGCTGCGCACGAAGTTGCGCTGGGCGCTCAGGAAGGACTCGCTGGTGGCCGGGCCGTGCTCCTGCAGGAAATAATCGAGCAGCGACAGCGCCGACTGCTTCTTGATCTGGTGCAGGGACACGGCGCTGAGCACGGGCTCGATCATCCCCGAGTCCGCCGAGATCACCACGATCTGGTAGGGCTTGATCCACAGGGGCACTCGCTCCTGCTCCCAGATCGACTGGGGGAAACACGTTAAAATCACGTTAAAATCGCATTAAAATCACGTTAAAATCATGTTAAAATCACGTTAAAATCATGTTAAAATCGCATTAAAATCACATTAAAATCATGTCAAAATCGCATTAAAATCACGTTAAAATCACATTAAAATCCTGTTAAAATAGCATTAAAATCACGTTAAAATCACATTAAATTCACATTAAAATCATGTTAAAATAGCATTAAAATCCTGTTAAAATCATGTTAAAATCGCATTAAAATCCTGTCAAAATCACATTAAATTCACATTAAAATCCTGTTAAAATCACATTAAAGCCAGGTTAAAATGCAGCTCCTGCACAGGGATCACCAGGATCTGGTAGGGCGTGATCCACAGGGGCACTCGCTCCTGCTCCCAGATCGACTGGGAGGGAAATGGGAAAAAATCCCGATAAAATCACATTAAATTCTGTTAAAATCCTGTCAGATTCCATTAAAATCCACACTCCTGCTCCCAGATGGACTGAGGGGGGAAACGGCAAAAAAATCCCATTAAAATCCCATTAAAATCCCATTAAAATCACCCTAAAGTCCCATTAAAAATCCCAGTAAAATCCCGTTAAAATCCCATTAAAATCCCAGCAAATCCAAGAAAAATCCCAGAAAATGCCACTAAATGTCTCCCATAAAATCCCATAAAAGCCCCTAAAGACTTGGGATTTTTTTGGGGGAAGGGCAGGAATTTTTCATGGATGTGGAATTTTTTGGGGAATTCTTTGGGAACGTGCCCACCTGGAGCTGTTTGAGCACCTGGAAGGCCACAAAATCCCCATAAAGAGCACAAAAAAATCCCCTAAAAACCCCAAACAACCTCCTAAAAACGCGGGATTTTTTTTGGGAACGACAGGAATTTTTAGGGAATGTGGATTTTTTGGGGGGAATTCTTTGGGAAGGTGCCCACCTGGAGCTGTTTGAGCACCTGGAAGGCGAGCAGCTCCTGCCGCAGGTCGTCGCCGCATTTGACGATGACCGAGAGGAGGCGCCACTGGGGGAGGTGCCCGTAGGGAGAGGCCTCCCGGATCCTCCTGGAGGGGGAAAAT